CTGAGAAATCCTGCAATTACTGCTGAAAGAAGTGTTCCAAAAAATACGGTCCAAAATTTCCCAAAAAATATTTTTGGCGACGCCGAGAGTCAGTACAGCGTCTTTAACTCATTACAGGCCATTCGTTGAGTGGAATGCACAGTGAAATCAGCAACAAACTCGTCGAAATGGATACTGTTATTGCGGAATTATACAGGAAGCTTCATGAAGTATGATATACATTGTTTTTTGCATTGCTTTCTGTTATCAGGCATTATTTTGAAGGATTTTGAAATTTTCTTTTTGCCAAATTCGGCAGGACTGAAACGATGGTGGTACAATATCCATAGACGGATCCAGGACGGACTTCTGGTGGGCGACGTGAAGAGGAAGGAGAGCGAGGTTCCTGGGGGTTTTGGGGTGTTGACGGAGGTGAGGAGAGAGCTCCACCCATCCTGGAATTATGCAAAAACTAGGAATGGAGTTGTAACACTGCTGTTTAAAGTTACTTTACTTTTATGAAAAGACCTCCGAAAGACTCTTCTCTCGCCCTCCTCCTCTTGGATCCACCCATGACAATATCCTGTACTGCGGCTGGCCTGTACAGAAAGAATATACGGAGGATGTTTGACTTGAGTTTGAATTGTTCCTTTATTAGAACCATTTCCAATATGTTTAAACCTAAAATGCATAGTTTTACTTGGCAGATTCAAGTTTTATGTTTATTTCTAATCCCTTTTTTCCCCATCGCTTTAATTTGAAAACTCAGTATTCACAAAGTTTACATTCCGTAAATTGCTGAGAAGCCCCTAACAAGAAAAAAAGGAAAAAACCAAGAAATAAAAACAAATTTAAGCTGCAAAAAAAGGAAAAATTGGCTTTATTTCAATTGAAACTTTAAAATCAAGGTCTATCAGAGGAATTTTTACATCATTGTGCTTGGCGATCATGGGATGACAGAAGGTGGAAGTCATGGCGGTTCTTCAAAGTTGGAAACTTATGTGCCGATTGTTATTATTGATGGGAAAAACAGGCCTTCCGCAACAGAAATTCGTCCAAGTAAGTTTAAGTTTTTATTTGAGATCCAGTAATATGAGCGGTTTGTTATTCAGACCCCCCGCCCTCTTCCAGTCTCTCCTAGCCAGGGATATTCATTGTTTATATCTCTAAAATTTCTACAACACTTATTATTCTTCAAAATATGTCTGGTTGAGTATGACTGTTTGATTTGACAAAAATCGAAGCCAGAGCTCTAAAGAACTAACTACGTATGTGAAGTGTGATGTGGCTTAATTTGGCACCTTTTCCTGTTCGTCATATTCTGCTGCTCGACCGTTCCTCGGCTATCTCTACTTAAAGTCTTCTAGGCCATCGGCCTCCTTCAACACAAAGTCTCGACCGCTCCTCGGCTGCCTCCCCACGATTGCATACTCCGGTCCGG